CTTTCAAATACTCCCCCATGGTGTTGAATTGTTTTGCAGACCCCCATGACACATTGATGAATCTGGGAGAACATATGGACCTACCAGACAGTTACCTACAATTCCAGCTGACACATAAACTGATGCTGGTGTCTATGGCAATTCTGATCTGGCCATAAATGTAGTTTGTGTAAATTTATTGTTCCATCTCTTCAAAAATGTTGCCTCATTTATAAACAAGACTGAAAAGACAAACAACTGATCTGCAGTTTGTACAATAAATCAATGGCAAAAGTTCTCCCTTCTTGCTTTTAAAATGAAGATTTGTTTGATCAATAAGTATAAAAGGGTCTTAAAATGATAAAAACAAATAAAACACTTGCATTTGAAAACAATTTATAAAAGCCTATCCTTAATTTTTAAGTGTTAAAACACAGTTAAAAGAATATTAAAAAGGATATAAAAGAAAGAAAGCTAGGAAAATGATAAAAGGAATAACAACCAGTTAAGAAAACTTTAAGACAAAATACAGTCAATTCACATTTATAATAGTGACTACAACTTACAGTGCATTGCGATGTTCATGTGCACTCATGGCTTTTTAACCCTGATGCACTTTTACAAGATTTCTTGTATAAATAACAAATGAATGATGTAATGAGAGTTTTGAAGGCTATTTTGTCTTGATGAAATCTATTAGTGTGCCTCTTTAAACCAGATGAGGATTTGCAGATTTTGTCACAAAAACTGACACATGGGGTCACTTGATACGAGAGGAAGGCGTTCAATCTGAGAAACGGGGTCTATATTATTGTGGTGATGATATCTCATGTGACTGGTTAAACCAGCTTTGGAGAAACAAATTCTGCTTCAAAAAGTACATTTATGCTGGGAGTCTAGAGGCAAAAGATTAGCATCACCTTTCCTTAAGGCCCTTTTCACTTTTGCATGCTCAATACTTTTCACTTCAAAACTATTACAACCTTCATAAAGAAGTTTCTGCCAGTTATAGACCTATCACCTGCCTCCACCTTCCCAGTTCTTTGTACTTATCCCAAGATTTTTAAGGTTGTTTTTAATAACATCTTTAAAGCACTTTTTTGATTTGTGTGGAATACATTTGCAGCTTGTCAATTCACCACAAAATAACTGTTTCAGGAGGTGATCATCATCTGTCATTATGATTTGACCAGCCCAGCGCATCTGGTTATGTGTTAACATCTTTTCAATATTAACATATTTGTCCTTTCTAAAATTGCTGCGTCCGACACAAAAGATTGTCACTTAATACTCAGAATCCTCTGAAGGCACTTTTGATGAAAACGTTCCAAAGTTTGGATCTATTTTACTGAGACTGGCAAAATAACCTCTGCCTTTTCTTGAATCTGATATTTTTATTACTTCATACGTATCCACTAAAAATAACGCTTGAAGCAATAAAACTATATATAATGATATTAAATTCTATTTACACTATTTATATAGTTCGCATTGATGTCCTCATCTTTGTGGCCATATTCATGACGTTTTGACCATTGTATTCTCCGGCCTTCCGTTTAACTCAGCTCTCCAAGTTATTCTGTTTCATGTTTTCAATTGTAGCTAGGTAATGAACTCCTAACTCTTTGGGTCAAGTCCACTGGATTTGACCAATGCTTTTATCCACTGAGCTATGTGTCCTTGAAGTTGGTTGAATGCAGTGGGTTGAGTTAAAGGGAGATAACTGAGATATCTGGAAGAGGCATGGCATGTAGAACTAGAACAATCTACCCCGGTGGTCGAAATAAAGGGTTAATTTCAAAATTCCAGTCACCTGAAGAATGTTGGTGCATACAATCTCCAAAACATCATGAATATGGCAATAAAGATGAGGACAACAGTTCGAACAATGTAAATAGTGTAAATAGTTACAATACCTCATCTCAGAATTAGAGGCAGATGTTAAACACGTCTTCTTTTCTTTCTTTTCCTCCTTTCTTTCCTTCCTTTCCTTTCCTTCTTCCTTTCCTTTCCTTCTTCCTTCCTTTCCTTTCTTCCTTCCTTTCCTTTCTTCCTTCCTTTCCTTTCTTCCTTCCTTTCCTTTCCTTCTTCCTTTCCTTTCCTTCTTCCTTTCCTTTCCTTCTTCCTTTCCTTTCCTTCTTCCTTCCTTTCCTTCTTCCTTCCTTTCCTTCTTCCTTCCTTTCCTTCTTCCTTCCTTTCCTTCTTCCTTCCTTTCCTTCTTCCTTCCTTTCCTTTTTTCTTTCCTTCTTTCTTTCACTGAAACTAAGTAGCATCTCTGTGTCTTTTTTGTTTTTTTCCACATGATCAAAACAAAATAGTCCATTATTTATGAGACATTAACAGATGTTAAGCACTTCTATCTTTTCTTTTTTTCATTTTCTCACTGAAACCAAGATATATCTTTTCCATCTTTCCACACAATCAAGTCAGAATAGTCCATTATTTTTTAGGTATTGGCAGGGCATAATGGTCGTGCTAACTAAGGGATGGACAAGCAGAATTATAATAAGTTTTGTTTCATTTTTTTTTTTCTTTACAATTTTGTGGAGTACTTGGGTTGTTTAATTTTTGTCCCAAATTCTCAAGTGGTTGTTTAAATCTTTTATGCTTTAACCTGATAATTGGAAAGAAAGTCATTTCAATGTAATTAAACTAACATATTTTCTTGTGAATAATATGGGAAATTTTGAATGAAAATTAAAGGCAAAAAGTGGGGATTGTATTATACACAAGTACATGTGTAGCGATTGCTATGTTTTTCCACACCCAAATTTTATTCGCCTGCAATTGGCTAATAAATCACTACTACTTTTATATAGGACAATTTAGCTATTGCAGTTGTTTCTTTTAATTCTTTGGTTTTGAGCTTGCTTGCTTGTTCTGTTAGTATGAATGTAGTGATTGGTTAATTTTTAATTTTAACCAATCACATATTTTAGTGCAAGATTAAGTTTTCCTGCTTTGCCGTGGGAGCCTACCCTTTTTCCTTAAAAGAGGCGACTTTTTCACGAGTCTTCAGTAAAATCCAGTAAAATTTGCCTGTCCATACAAATCCACGATCTTATTCATAACATTTCAAACACACACACAAAGAATTTCGTAATATAAACTTACATTTCTCTCTTTGACTTAGCCAAGTTTATTCAACCAGGACTCTGTTGATTTCGAACCATTCTATAACACAACACATTTTTGATCTATTGTATTCTTGTGTTATCTATTTTAACAGACTTTGTTCTAATATTGATTCCTGAACATTTTTCTCTCAAAAAGAACTTCCTTCGAACAATCAATTACAAATCAAAATACAATTAAAGGGAGACAACTTCTTTCCCTTAATCTATGCATGGAATACAATTTTATTGCATGTTTGTTCTTGTATGTTATTTCAATATATATTTGTTGATTAACAATTTAGAGTTATTGTTGTTTACTTGAATCTTGTACGTTGAAAGTATAATAATATAAATAGTATTAGTCTATCTACAAACGGATACCTTTACAATTGGTAACCCCAATGTTCCAAAAATAAATCTTTCAACCAATAGGCCCTTACACATGTTTCCAGAAATTTTTACTAACTTTTATGATGATGTTATTTTTTTTATATTATTATAATATAACTAATTTCTCAGGATTTAAATGATGAAATTTAAGAATGATATTATTTCTATTGGCAATCAATAATGATTGATTTTTATCTTTAACCCACAGGCAGCAAAAAGTCTGATTGGAATGCTAGATGAAGCAAAGATGATTGTTCCCATTGACCTGAGGCACTCATGTCCCATTGCTTTAAAAGCTACTGCTGGTCTGCGTTTATTAGGGCCGGAAACTTCAGAGTTTATTTTGACCAAGGTAACAGTTATTATTACAGCACAAATCTCTTGAGCAAAGTTGTTAATTTTGACTGGCCATTATTTAAAAAAAAATGTTGAATGTAAAACGTTCTTGTATTTGCAAAAGAAACTTTTAAATAAATTTTGGCAAAGTTTAACCTTTGTGTCTGAAAAAAAAATCAATGTCAAAAGGGCAGATATTCTCTTGACACTGCTATTATTGTAAACACCTTTTGATTTCTTTCTTTTTTTTAAAAGAAAAAAGGATGATTAGAGTTTTGATAAAACTCAGATATAAAAGGGAATTTATACATTTTCTTTGTTATTGAGAATTTACAACAAAAATATTAAACACTACTCGATTTTTTATTTACAAAAATTTTATATTTACAACTTTTTAAAAATATACAAACCAATGAATGCAATGTTTATCAATTAACAATTTATAAAGAAATAAATATGAAAATAATTTTTTGTTCAAAAAAAAATTAAAAAAAGAAAAACTTTACAGATTTATAAAAATATGTGAACCAATTATAATGAAATTTTTATTATATACTATTTCGTAAAGTTTGAATTGTTTAGCAATTCGCACATGTTTTGCTAAAAATTCCAAAGAACACAGTTTGTTAGCTTTGTCAATTGCTTCAGTCAAGATGCTTAGTATCCATTCTTCATTTAATATTTCATCAGTCAGCACTTGGCTAACAATAAATAATCTATTGGTAGATTTTTAGGCATTTTTAGAAAAATCAGCAAGGATTTAAAATTTTTTTAAAAATTATTAAAAAAAAAACAAAAAAAAAAACCGAATAGGAAACAGGGGAGGTAACCTTTTAATTGCTGGAGTTTCGGGCCTTGATTTTCTATTTATTCGGCATCAGATATCGGTGCTTCTCAAACTGATATGGTAGACCGGCGTTTTTATTTTTTTCCTCACTGTGTATAATTTCAATGAATGTAATAAAAGTTGACAATTTTTTATCTTCCATTGATTTTGCAAAAAATAATTCAATATCAAAACATATAAAAAAGTATTAAAAATATAAGCAGTTTATTAACACAAAAACAAAAATTATATAACTTAATCTTTAAATGATTCCTTACCATGGCCTGGACACTGGCCGCATACCGGTCGAGTAGCTGACGGTTCACGTACCGGCACCAGTCCGTGAACCACCACTTTGAGTAGCACTGTCCTAGATCACAATGATAAAACAAAACTGGAAAATTAAAACAAAAATTAATCTGAGATATGAAATATTTTGAGAAGATAATGTGGGGAAAAATCATATTAAATTTTTTTTTTCACAGATATTTTTTTTATAAAATTATGAATAAAAAACTCGTTTTTATATTTATTTATAAAAATGGTAAATAATTATTTCATTTTAGTTGATTCACATATTTTTATAATCTTGCAAATAAATTTCACTGAAGGAGTCTCTATACAGTATTAAAGATGTCAACAGAAAAAGAGCCCTTTTGAATTTATAGTGTTTTTATAGAGCGTGCGGGAGCAATATCTCACATATGCTGCCTAGAAATACATCTTATTTTCTTATCATTATGTGGGAGGTTTTTCTGCTATGCCTCGCATTCATCTATTTTGGCATCAGTGTGTATTTACAATGATAGAACGACTTTGTCACAAATGTTACTGTGTGAGACTAACATTTTGGATCAAGGATTTTGGCATCATAGCCATGTGTTTTTTTTTTTTTTTTTTTTTTTTTTCATTGTTGAGGCAGGACTGGAATTAATCTTCAAGCCAGCTGTGTCCTGCCTGTCAAAGAATTACTTGCCATAATGATTTGGAGCAAAGGTTTTATGAGGCCAGATGCTCTTCTGTCTTTTATTGTCCTTTCTCCTCACTAAGGTCTTATTTTCTGTCTATATTTCTGAAATGAGGTATTGTAATAATTTGCATTAGTTACATTGTTCAGACTGTTGTCCTCATCTTTATTGTCATGTTCATGGCATTTTGGCTGTTGTACACTCCAGCCTTCTTCAGGTGATTAGGATTTCAAACTGAACCTTTTATTTCATCCAATGTGCGTATATTGATCTAGTTACATGTGCCATGCCTCTTCTGGATGTCTCAGTTATATCCCTTTAACTCGGTTTTCCATTTTTTTTTTTTTTTTTTTTTTTTTTTGTTCACCACTGCTGTAGCCAGGTATTGAACTCACAACCCTGGATCCAACCAACGCTTTATTCACTGGGCCCTGTGTCTTTGAGGTCATTTTCTTTCACTCTCATTGAAAGACTCCTGGCATCTTAGAGGCATTATCGCCTTGCTAGGGGTAAAATGATTAACAAAAAATAAATAACAGGTCTACTGTCATTCATAAAACGGATAACTAAGATCATTTTACATCCCAATATGTGATTGATAAACAAAAAAGTTATAATTACATCACAGTATCTAATCATGATATCATAGGATATAAACTCATATTTTATGGCCAATAAATGAAGCACAAACAAGACACGCTTACAAATAAATCCTGCTAAATTCAGTAGATATGAAAAAACTTTTTACAATTCTGTACAAACATGGCTCCAGAATTGAATAATTGATTTCTGGAACCTGATTGGATATAACAAGTCATGTGATGTACTCGCTGAGATGTCCATGTGTTTGAACTCCAAATGACCTGGAAGTAGGTCATGGCTTAGGTTACAGAGTAATTTCCCACACAGGAAGTTGTGTTTCCGAGTACATTCTCGGATAGGATTTGTGAGTTGATCACTGGCTTGCATAAGCCATAAAAACAGCTTGTCAGGAACAGATTTTCAATGACACAGTCAGTGAAGGACAGTCGGCAAAAAACAGTCAGCAAACCAGACCCCACCTTGATCAATAACTATGACACATGTACCATGAAAGCATGCCAGCAATGATTTTTCTACATACAACACCATGAACAAAATCTTGTATCCCCTCTCTTTGTTCACTGTGTTTTAAAATTACTGCTATCGCACACGATCAGTCAGCAGCCACACGTGTTTTATTAGCGTGTGCTTACACACATGCACAGAGACACACATTGGCGCACCATACCACTTGATTTTCTCACTTGAAATCATTTCAATCATGCTATTAGTTTCTTCATGGCCACACCAATGAACATTGATTTCTAACATGTAAATATATGTACTTGCCTGTATAAATATATGTACTTGCCTGTATAAATATATGTACTTGCCTGTATAAATATATGTACTTGCCTGTATAAATATACGGGGTGTCCATAAAGGTCGTGTGCACTTTAAAAAATTTATAACTTTCTTTGTATTTGCCATAGAAATAATTTGTAAAAAGGATTAGAAAGAAGTAAATATTTTTCTAAGGTTTTATTGAAATTTTATTTAAGTTTCCACATGTCCTCCATCATTAACAATACAAAGAGTAATAAGATTTTGCAGTTCACAGAAAACATTTGCCAACTGATTTCCAGTAATGCCTGAAATTACATTAGTTATTTTAGCTATACTTAAAACTAGGTACATTAAACTTTATAACATGTTTTACAGATTATTTCTATCGCAAATACAAATAAAGTTATAAATTTTTTTAAAGTGCACACGAACTTTATGGACACCCTGTATATATTTGCCTGTATAAATGTTATTGTCATATTTAGGTTGATCATGTTCTTTTAATGCAAAGATCATTTCCTCCTCTTGTTAATTATTTTGTATTTGTAAACATGAAACTTGGATTTTATTTTTCCACCTAAAATCTGAGTGGACTGACCCCACAATATAAGGGTGTCATTTTATTAAATATGTTCAATCCAACTTGATATTTATAATAAACTATTTGTTATTGTGTATTAAGCTTATAATATAGTGTACATAATACCTCATTTCAGAAATATAAACAGATATTAGTGGCCACCAGTCGGCAAAGATCTCTGTAGACTTCTTGGCCTTTTTTGGATTTGCCTTGGTTCAAGTTCATTTGCTCTGTAAAGGGAGATAACTCGTATCTCCAGTTAAATCTCTTGTCCCAGAAAACAGAAGATTCTGGATTTAAGATTATGATCTGGTGAAGGATATTCAATCGGATTGTTCCATTTAAGGGAGGAAAAGTATGTTTTTTTTTTTTTTTTTTTTTTTTAATTTTTTTTTTTTTAAGTTGTCTTGCATGAATTTTCCTATTTTTCTTTTCTTAAGGTTGAAATTTAAAGTTCTCTATTACTGAATTAACAATAAAAATTTTGCTGCTCTGTAAAAAAAAGTAAAATGCTTTTTCTCTGCTCTATTTGAAATGTCATAAAACTCTTTGCTTTGTTTTTATATACACAACATACTAAATACATTTTACTTGATAATCTCTTTTTTCTTTTTTCTCTTTTTTTTTTTTTTTTTTTTTTTTTTTTTAATGCCATGTCCCTTCAGATGGTAGCTGATCGTAGCTCTCCATATGTACAGATTCCTTTTTTTTTCTATTATCTGGTATGTCCAGGCCTACTTAGGAAAGATAGTGGAGCATTTTCCTACTGCATTCAGTTAGACTGGCTGCCACCAAAGGCTACAGAGCCAAATTTATCCTGTTATTTAACCTATAGCTCACTTGAGGAGAGATGCATTCATGCCTTTCCCAAAGGCAATAGTATGAAAGACAAGGTTTGAATTTGAAGTTGGCTCACTGATTCCATTTGTTCAGACCAATAACCATTATGCTATTTTCATACACTGATTACTGTAGAAACCTCATGGAATGGCTAGAATTTGTCATAACTGCAAATAGATATAAAAGACACTGCCTTTAATAGTGTGAAACTAATTATTTAGTCAGTAGACAATCTTACTCTTTTTTTTTTGTTTTTTTTTTTTTGGCCAGCAAGGAAAACAAAGTAAATTGACTCTCAATGAGACAATATATATTTATTAGAATTAATATATATATATATATATATATATATATATATATATATATATATATATATTTTTTTTTTTACAGGTCCATGAGCTCTTCAAGACTTATCCGTTTCTGATGATTGATAACAGCATAGAAATTATGAGTGGCATAGATGAAGGTAAGTTTGTTTTTTGTTTTTTTTTAAATTTAATAATTTCACCTCAGGCAAGACAATAAAGCCAGTAAGACACAAAGGGTTACTGAGTGTGAAAGAATAATGAAAAGAAAAACCTTATTAAGGAGCAAGAACAATAAAAGAGCAATCAAGAAGGCAGCAGATGATAATCAATACTGCATTTAAATTTTTGACTGATAGGCATGAAGCTAGAAGAGAGTTCCACAAGTGAGAAGTGTTGGAAAAGAAACTTTTAGCAAATACCTTTATGATTACATCTAACCAATTCCACTGGAAAATGATGAGATCATGCCGCCAATCTAGTACTGTACTTAAATTCATAAAGTCTAGGTACCATAACAAAGTGTTCATCTGAAAAGTTACCATGAAAGTATTTATAGAAAAGTATTTATGAAAAGGTACAGTGAAGCTATAATATGGTGATAGGAAAGTGACTGAAGCTGGTATGCCAGTTCAGGACAATAACATTGCAAATTGGTATTTTATTAAAGGTCTCTAACTATATAGCAGGATCACCAGACTATATGTGACAGCAATATTCAAAGCAGGCATTAATGTTAGACTTATACATATGGAAGACAGATTCTGGAGAGAAAAAATTGTTGAATATGACACAGGGAACCAACTTTCCTTGCAGCAAAAAGTAATAATTGATTCAATATAATCTTTCCACTTCATGTCAGCTGAGAATGAGCAACAAATTAAAATGTCCTGGAGGTTAACATCAGCCATGATGATGATATAAGGCAGAAACACTTCTTTCAGATGTGATTACTACAAAGAAGTTTCATTTTGGTGGCATTCAAATTAACAAGTTGTTCTTTGCTCCAGTTAAAAACAGATTGAGATCTTGAAGAAAATAAAAGATTATATAAAAGATTATGATATGAAACATAAATGAAAAACAATGGCATTTAAAATAATTTTTTTTTGATCAGTTTGTCTCAAGGAAGGGGATAACACTGCTAAGACACAAGGGGCTAATGGGAGAATGAAAAGATTTTAGAAGGAACTGGAAACTCGATCCTGAACAAGGAACAAGGGATGAACCTCTACTCCTGGTCAAAAGTTTGGGAATAGGCAGAAGAGATTATTTGAGATACCACCACAAAC